GTTCATGACTAACAAATGTTTCTGAATCTCCCAAACAGAATATAATTAGTAAATTTCTGGTTTTTCTTTCCTCCAAATAACAGCATTATAATGGCTAGCATGCATCCGCTTTACCCTTCTACTAGCTGGAAGAACAAGGGATGATCTGGACAGTCAACAGCCCCCTAGGTATTTTCAAGGTCTATGAAAGTGCAAAGTCTCACAAGCTAGAGTCAGGGAATCCCAGCTAAGATGCCACTGCAGATTTCAGCACCCATTACCACCCACTAATGGCCCCAAACACCAATTTGTTTCCATTATAAGGCTTCAAAGACATAGACTGGTAGTATATCAATGAGTAGAAAGAAATTCACACAATCTCTTGCCTGTTGCAGACAATGAATGAATTAGCCCACACTGACCCAACATGGTTATCAGTTACAGTTATCTGGAAATGGAGAATCACACAGTTGGGGAAGGACAGATGGGATTATTTGTAGATCCTAAAAGAGACCTCATGCAGTTTCAATAGCCTGAAGTCCCAAGAATAGATGGTATTCATCAGAAAGAGATGATGTATGAAGAATCTCTCTCCAACCTTCAGTATTTTAGGATTAATACCAAATGGTCATAAGATTATGGATTTTGAACTGGAAAGGACCTTAGAGACCATCAAGTCTGACACTTCACTTTACAGATGAGGTCAAGTGACTTGTCCAGGGTGATGCAGTTAGATATGTCTGAGGGAAGCTTTGAACTCAGGTCTTTCTGACTATAAGCCCAGCACTCTATGCACTGCACCACTTTCTTAGGTGCCTCCAATGGACTTCCTATTGTTCTATATAACGTGAAACTGGATTGTATAGTGAAAAGAACACCAGAGTTGAAGGAAGACAACCTAAATTTGTATTCTGGATCTACTATTCACTATGTGACCCTAGGCAGTGCAAGTTTCCTCTCTTGTAAAATGAGGATAGTAATATCTGCACTAATTACATACTGCATAGTTTTGAAGATTAAATGAGATCATAGAACCATAAAATCTCAGTACTTAAAAGTACCTTAGAGTTTATCCAGGGGTGGGGAACCTGTGGCCTCGAGGCCACATGTGGCTGGCCCTCTAGGTCTTTAAGTGCAGCCCTTTGAATGAGTCCAAGTTTTACAGAAAAAATCCTTTTATTAAGAGGATTTGTTCTGCGAAGTTTGGATTCGGTCAAAGGGCCATATTTGAGGACCTAGAGACCCACCTCCATTCCAGACCAAGTCCTACCTAAAACATGAGTTTGTATTTGCAACTTCTTTAAAAAGTTTGTCCTACTAATGTGGAAATGTGTTTAATATAATTGTACATGGATAGCCTATATCAGAGTGCTTGCCATCTTGGGGAGGAGGGAGGAGAGGGAGGGAGAAAGAAAAAAATTAGGAACTCAAAATCTTATAAAAGTCAATATTGAAAACTATCTTTACATGTGATTAGAAAAAAAAATAAAATACTATTAAGTGGGGAAAAAAATGTCACACAGTTTCTGCTTAAAGTTTCCAATGGTGAAATAAATGTTCAGCACCTCACAAAGAAGTTCACCAATAGCTATAATTGTTAGGAAGTTCTTCCTTATATCGAGCACAAACGTGTTTCACCCTTTGGTTCTAGATCTGTCCTTTGGGGCTAAGCAGATTTAGTCAAACATCCCTTTGACAATCCTTCAAAAGTTAGAAGGAAGAATTTACGCTCCTCCCCAAGTCCTCTTTTCTCTAGATTAACACCCTGAGATTCTTCAGTCAATCCTCCTAGAAGTCTGAGTACCCTGGATAACATATACAAAAAGTACTTTGTAAGCACAGGTAGACACACCCACACCCCCATAAGCTTAGACAGTCAATGTCTTTGACAGTCTTTGACAGTCTTTGACAGTCTTTGACTCCAGCCATCCTTCTGGGATTCCTCCTTTATCCTACTGCCTCACCCAGCCTTGTAACTCTCACCTTTGGACCATGTTGCCTAGTTTGGTAAGTGTCCACTAGATCTATTTGGCCTCATGCTTATAACCATGTTTTTTCTTCATCCCCACCATCTTCCTGCCATCCCTGTGCCTTTAAAACAAAATATCTTTCCCTATGTGTGTTGTCTTCCCATTAGAATTTAAGCTTCTTGAGGCCAAGGACTGCCTCTTTCTGTATTCATGTTCCCAGCACTTAACATAGTACCTAACAAATAATATAAGCTCTTCATAAGTTTTTCTATTTATTCATACATACAGAAAAACACACACATAAATGTGTATACATAGATATATTTATGAGTGGAGAAGGAAGGCAGGTAATGTGGTATAATGGATAGAGGACTGGCCTCAGAGATAGAAGGAAAGTTTAGGACTTGCCTCTGGTACATTCTGGTTTTGTGATCCTGGACAAATCATTTAACCTGCCATTGCTCTAGGCAATTCTCTAAGATCTCAAAGTTGCAAAGTGGGTGCCAACCTATGTTGGTAGAGGCAGTTTCCTATCTAAGTGTTCCCTATGCCAATGAAATCCCTGGTCCACACCCTCTCCCTAGTTTTATATACATTGATTATATATATATTGATCATATTGAAGTTGCAGTCCACTATTACCCTCAGATCTTCTTCAGCAGAGTTGTTATGTACCTATGCCTCTCTTATCTTACACGTAAGATGTTGATTTTTTTTAACCTGAATGTTTCACATTTATGCCTAATAATACCCACCTTATCAAATTCAATCTATTGTCCTAGCCTTTCAAGAGCTTTTTAAACTCTGACCTTGTCTTCTAACTATGATTACCAGATTTGTGTCATCCATTAAGTTAATTTATATGCCTCTATCCTAACCATGGGAAAAATGTTAAACAGTGCAATCCCAACCACAAATCCCTTGATCACTCTAATGATACTTCCTTCCATGTCAACAGTAAGTCACTGGATCTGGCTAATCAACCAACTGTAAAATATTCATTCCTTTCAGGAATGTTATAGAGGGAGTTCTTGGTCAGGTATGGGTCAGACTAGATGACCTGCTAGGTCTCTGACACCTCTAACATTCTGCAGTTCTGTGATCTACACTTTTTGGGTATAGACACGAATGTAACATATGTATTTACATATGGAGGAGGGTCAGCTCTCTTTTCTCGCTGAATGTTACCTCAGGTCAGACAGCAAACTTTGCTGGGACTTGTTCAGTTGTTTCAATCACATCTGACTCTTTGTCCTTCCATTTGGGATTTTCTTGGTAAAGATACTGGAGTTGTTTTCCATTTCCTTCTCCAGATCATTTTATAGATGAGGAAACTGAGCCAAATAGGGGTAGTTGATGTGCTTAGGGTTATACAGCTAATAAGTGTCTGAGACCAGATTTGAACTCAGGAAGATGAATCTTTCTGACATGAAACCTAGCACTTTATCCATTGTGCTACCTAGCTGCTAGGGCCTACCAAGCTTTAAATACTTTGAGTACTCCATGTCTGTCATTTGACAGTCAGATTGGCTAAGTTTTTTTGGGGGGGGTTGTTTTATTTTTTTTAGGCAATTGGGGTTAAGTGACTTGCCCAGGGTCACACAGCTAGTAAGTGTCAAATGTCTGGTCTGAGACCAGATTTAAACTCAGGTCCTCCTGACTTCAGGGCTAGTGCCCTATCTACTGTGCCACCTAGCTGCCCCCAGATTGGCTAAGTTTGGAGGGGCCCATCACCAGATTGATCTAAGGGCAATAAAAGTTCTAGCCACAACTACTCTCAAAGCCCATCTACAAAGTCATAGAATGGGATCTACCTGTACTGGTAGAGAGTGTAACATACTGACAAAATCATGGCTTCTCAATGTATTAGAGTCATGAAGTGGGGCACAATGGTAAGAATTCTGAATTTGGAATCTGAGGACCTGGGATCAAATCCTGTCTCTGTCACTTTCTATCTATGTGTCCTTGGACACATCACTTGATCTGTCTGGGTCTCAGATTCCTCAACTATAAAATTAGAGGGTTGGATGGATGATCCATTAGGTTCCTCCTGGTTCTGCATCTATGATCCTGAAACACCTAACTAAACATGATTGCCTACCTGAAGTAAGAGTTTTCCAATGACACAAAGAGTTCTCTGCTTGCAAGAAGCTAGAGGAAGTGCTTTGTGCTTTCCTGGGAAATCAACTAATAGTGATATGTCATGTTATTCACTTCATGCCATTGACTTCCTTAATTTAGAATCTACCCAATTCCCCAGCTTTCTTAATCTGAGCCAACCATCATCCCCTGCCTGGTGCAGCATCACATGCAAATCGCTGCAAAGCCTGAAATCTAGTGATGAGAGGAGATCGACAGAAGGTCAGAATGAAAGCCCAATAGTTAAGCAAGCTGTGGTATGTGATTGTGATGGAATATTTTTGTTCTATAAGAAATGACAAGCAGGATGATTTCAGAAAAATCTAGAAAGATTTGCATGAACTGATACAAAGTGAAGTCAACAGAACCAGGAGAATGTTGTATACAGTAACAGTAATATTGTACAATGAAGAACTGTGAATGACTTAGCTATTCTCAGCAACGTTATAATCCAAAATAATCCCAAAGAACTATGATGAAGCATACTATCTGCCTCCAGACAAAGAAGTGATACTGTTTAAATGCAGCCTGAAGTATGCTATATTTCACTTTCTTTCTTTCTTTTTCTTGTATTCAAGTCTTCCTGTGCAAAATAACTAATATGGAAATGTTTTACATAATTGCATATGTATAGCCTATATTTGATTGCTTACTAACTCATGGAGGGTAGAAGGGAGGGAGGGAGGGATAGAATTTGAAGCTCAAAACCTCAAAGAAAAGCCCAAATGTTAAAAAATTGTTTAACATGTAATGGGGAAGGATAAAAATATATTAAATTTCAGAATGAAAGCCCAATGGTTCTAACAGTTATTTAAGAGAGGAGTTATGGGATGTGATCAAAAATGGATTCTTAGTGGTCCTTTGGTTCTCCCTATTTCCTTTCCCTCCTGCTCTTTTTGAATACGAAATTACCGAAGGCTTGTGATTGGGAAGGGTCACACCCTCTCCAGGTGCACTGGCAATGGTGGATTCTCTGGTCATCTCGGTGGTTGGATTCTTCTTATGGAGCTTCTTAGTCCTGTGACAAAACCAAACATTGGCTGAAACACCCTTCCAAAACCAACCAAGCAACTCAAATGGGAGTCACAACTTTGTTGCAATTTAGATAATTGCTTAGAAACCCTAATGTTGTCTCCTCTGTTAGAATATAAGTTCTTTGGAGGGCAAGAACTGTTTTTGTGGTTGTCTTTGTATCTTCAGTGCTTAGCACCGTGCCTGGCCCATATTAAGCCTTTAATAAATGATTGTTGGCAGGTTGACTTTGTATCCTCAGCACTTAGGACAGGTCCTGACAGTACATAAGCTATTAATACATACTCGTTGATTGATGCTACTTCTTGCATCCTTATATCTCCCTTTGGGATAAGTTCAGGTGATACCCATTCCATGAAGCCTTCCCTGCCCCTATTACTACTACTACTACTACTACTACTACTACTACTACTACTACTACTA